GTGACCGCAGTGATGTGGTCGCTCTCAATCGGTCATGTTCTCTCCTCCTGTAGAGTTTCTCCTGTAGCGATAGCGTGGGAGACAGCAGAAAGCCCACTCGTAGCTGACTATGCCATGGGAAGGCTACCGAAAGCCGAACTAGGAATCATCAGTGAGAGCTCTTCACATCGGAGAGCGCGAATAATCCCCCGACAACCATGCCGGCGAGCCCTCATCAAGTTCTGGTTCCAAGAAAGGAAACCCTAACATCACCCCGAGTGGTGATCGGGAGATCTTCATCAACACCCCTCGTGCAGAGCCTTCGTGCATATGTCCTCCCCACATATGGCGGGTCCCTCGTATTCTATCCACGTTAGGGTTCGGAGAGCCATTAAAAATAGCCCCTTTATCGTCACCAGATTCGGCGAAAAACCCTCGATTGACTAAGGCAAGCGTGGAGATGGAAGTCTCCGTTCGCTTCATCTAAAAGGGCTTCACGGAGAGGAGAGAGAGTTTCCTCGAGTGGGCGCTCTCTCCTCTTTCTCCTCTCGCTGTCAGTTCTTAAATTGGAGGACTACTAAGCTTTGCCCACGAGTACCCAGAGTACTTGTCATGCATGGCCCCAGAAGAATCGAGTAGACATCACCTAGCTGGCAAGGTAGTGGCGAGTGCTGGATGGTTAGGTCCCCCATTAAAGCTTCCTCCTTTTGGGTTTAGACGGATTCAATGCCGGAGCAAGTTTCGGTGAAGGGTCCGGCTGACAGAGACGCCATTGGATCCGCTAAATCAAACCCAGTTGGCAACAAGTTGATCAGTCCCATGTATTTTAGTCACATTTATCGTCGTGGCGACACTCTCCCGACAGAGTTACCGTTAGCATCGAAGCCTTTTCCAAGGGGCCGTCGAAAGGATGAGAGAAACTTACCCTTGATGGGACACAAAGAAATCCAAGAGAGGGATTCAGCTGGGTCTGAAGAACGAGGCCTCGAAGATTGATCGACGAGGTAACCTGTCAGTCTAGAGAAAGCGAGAGCGAGAGAGAGAGAGAGAGAGAAATAAGGAGGGGGGCAACCGAAAGGAAAGTGCCCTTGTTGTTTAGGAAGGGTTTGGCGTCCTAATCATGCCTCTGGGAGGTTTCTCTGAATGCAGTGAACCACGGGTCTCTCTCTCTCTCTCTCTCTCTCTCTCTCTCTCTCTCTCTCTATGCCCGCTAAACTTCACGCATCAATTGGGTCGATTGAAGAGGTAAGTAGACGACGAGCCTCTCTTGAAACCATAGTCAAAGGTTGATCGTTTCTTAGTAAACCACACGATCGGTGCCAGAGAAATACACAGTAAATGGGTAGTATTTGCTCCTCCGCCGCCGATTTCTGATAGAGCATAGTGCACCTACCGTGTGCTCTCATGACGCTGTTCTGCATGCCAACGTATCTTGCACCCCTCTTTGAAGCCGTGAAGGAATTACCCAGTCTAATTAATCCCCGAAACGAATGACTTCTAAGAGAGAAGAAGAGAGAGAGATCTCGCTCTTTCTAGTACATATGTCTCGGGCTCTTTACCAAAAGGAGAGCCAGTCCCAACTAATCTAACCCGCAACTGGCTAATTGTTTACACGGCGGCTGTCGCGGGGCACCAAGTCGGCAGAAGCTCCCAACCGCCCGTGGATCGACAGGGAACAACACGTGGACGCTCCCCATTGGCTGCAGCACGCGGAATCATGCCACGGGCGAAACCCCAGCTGACATCATGACTCCCTCCCTTAGAGACGAAGAGATAGATGGAGCGAGAGAGAGAAAGAGAGATCGTATAGAGATACATAGAGAGAGAGAGAGATGACCAGGTGACTTCTAAGAGAGAAGAGCGAGATATCCGTAGAGAGAGGGGGGCTTGAAAGAGAAGGAAGGGGTGCCATTAAGAGGGCTTGGGTTATTTTTTTCTCCATATGGAGAAAGCGGGAGGAGAGGGGGAGAAGTGGAATTCAAGTCCCGAGGCCACGTAATAAGAGCGCGCGGACGACGAGATATTCTCCAAAAACATCGTTAATGTAATCACCCTACAGCTGGGAATCTGATCAACGGTGATTCTCGGGTTGACCGCGAGTTATTGCTTGAGGCGATAATGGGTCTGAATATCTCGGTCAAAGCACCTTATAAACGAACTATCTCTCTCTCTCTCTCTCTCTCTCTCTCTCTCTCTCTCTCTCTCTCTCTCTCTCTCTCTCTCTCTCTCTCTCTCTCTCTCTCTCTCTCCTCTCTCTCTCTCTCTCTCTCTCTCTCTCTCCCTCTCTCTCTCTCTCTCTCTCTCTCTCTCTCTCTCTCTCTCTCTCTCTCTCTCTCTCCCTCTCTCTCTCTCTCCCTCTCTCCCCCTCTCTCTCCCTCTCTCTCTCCCTCTCTCTCCCTCTCTCTCTCCCTCTCTCTCTCTCTCTCCGTCTCTCTCGCTCTATCACTACCCATTTTACTGTTGTGCGCGTCGACATAAAAATAGGACCTTTTTTTTAAATGTGTTCAGATTTGGAGTTCAATGACTTCTCCTATCTACATTTAGTTAAATATTTGATAGATATCACGTGTATGTTGACATGTAAGATCATATTTCCCCCCATTTTTCTTTCATTTTTGTGATTAGTTAGTTAACCCTTTCTACATTTGGTGAAATAATTTTATAAAATATATAATTATGGCGAAATGTATGATTCATTTATGAGATTAGGCTCAGATGATATATATATATATATATAAACATAGGAAAGCTCTCTAGAGTAGTACTATTAGATACGGAAGTGTGATCAAATGTAGGAAGAGTGGGTTTGTTTGAATCGGACGGTCATCAACAAGCCAATCACCCATTTCACGCATCCCACTGCGCGCAAAGTCCACTGCCGAAATGAGATCAGTGGACCCCAACGAAGTCCGTACGGCTAGCTGCTGCCAGCCGTATGATTCTGACATTTGCCGAATCGGACGGTTCACAAGTTGGGGCCGTCAACGGTTTAGCAGGTAAGCCGTGGAATTCCTGTCCAGTCGCCATCGTCTGCGAGATATAGCTGACGAAACTCGATAATCACGATATATTGAAACGATAAGTTATACTTAGAACCTGATTTACTAAGTAAACCCCCATATATTAAAATAATATCCAAAAAACCTAACACAGTTCTCTTGGCGGGATCTGACGGTTCAAACAACTTGACTGGGAGCCGTACGCGCCGCCACAGATCGAACAACTTAGACTGTCCGATGGAGGGGATCCCATGGCTGCCGCCTCTCTCCCAATCATTTCTAGTCGGCGAGTCAATCCCCCGTGCGGCCACCCGTTGACCATAATCTCGCGCGCCAGGAAAAATATCGCGCGAGAAGATGGATGGCCGCTAACGGCTCATCGGCCGAATCTTTCAAGCGTTCCGACAATTAAATGCAGTGTGCCCCCACTCCGAGGTGCAGCGCATGGATTGTGCGCTCGAGCGTCAGCCACAGTTGGACGCGGACGCGGAGGAAGGCCTCTCTTAAGTTGTGACGCGAGACAGGGGAACGTCCACTTGGGGTTGTTTAGTTGGCGACTGTCAGCTGCTTAGCTAGCCCGAGCTCGGACGTATCTTCCCGGGCTGAGGGAGAAAAGGAAGAGGGAGAAGACACGAGAAGGGAGATGGTAAACAGCTGGACGACCGGTTGGTGAGACGGAGTAAAACACTGCTTGTTCAATATTCTAGAGTGAGAGAGGGAGAGGAGAGAGGAGAGAGAAAGAGAGAGGGCAGATGTAAAGGTGAGGAGGTGGGGGTGGTGATGATGGGGGAGAGAAGTCGGTCGGGAGTTTCCCTAAATCTTTTCGTTCGGAGCTTTTTCTTTTTTAATCACTTTCTCTCTCCAAGTCTCTCTCTCTCTAGCAGGCGTGGGTTTAAGTTTGAGGGAGACTTCAGTGTCACTCCACCCCTTTCCCTCTGGATCCCTTCGGAGAGAGTACACCGGTTCCTCTTTTTCTGTTCAGTGAGAGTAGGAACTCCCCCCATCTCTCTCTCTCTCTGTCTATCTATCTATCTATCTATCTATCTGTTTGCAAGGGGGGTTAAGGTTTCTGAGGGGAAGAGAGCGGTCGAGCGGAGTCCAAGCTCAAGAAAAGCCTCGCAACCTATCGCCGTAACTTCTGTGTACGTTTCTTTACTTGCCCCCGCCACCAATTTCCAGTCTTGACTGTCGTATAGAGAGAGAGAGAGAGAGAGATGGGCTCGCAATTGAGGCCGGAGGAGACAAAAGGATAAAGGAATCTGATGTGGGTGTCCTCTCCTTTCTCGCTTATGGATGCTGAGTCGGGTGTTCCTCTGCTGTGAACTAGGAGTGCCTTGGGAGGTGGAGAGTTGCAGGGCTTCCACTTTTTTTTTTTCTTTTTGGTGATTAAGTTGCACTCCCCAGAGAGAGAACTCTGACGTGCTAGAGAGAGAGAGAAGAGTAAAGAAGATGGTGGGGAGGAGGCGGGCTCTGTACAGTTGATAATTTTTAGTGTTCGTTGATCTCTGAAACCAATGCGTATTTAATATTCCCAGGTTCTTATAGAGAGAGGAGGGAGATTTAATTCTCTTCACGCACTTGTCCTGTCACCAGCTCGCTCCCCCACTGGTTTCAGGTGCGGCGCGGTACTCTCTCCTTCGACTCCTGCGTGTGTTCTCAACCTTTTTGGGCGCCTGGGTTTTTCTTGAAGATCTAACATTGTTCTAAATAATTCCTTTTTTCAGTTCTTGGTCTGCGATCAATCATTTTCACCGAGTTTTCTTCTGGAAAGCCTCCGCTACCCACAGGAAGAAAGGTCGAGGCGGTCGGCCCTTCCGACATGGTCTGATCGGCTCATCTCTCTCTAGCTCTCTCTCTCTCTCTCTCTCTCTCTCTCTCTCTCTCTCTCTCTCTCGCTCGCTAGAGAGCATCATCCTCTCCAATGCATGCATGCCGGTGCTCTTCCGCGGCCTGATCGACCCGTTCTGGAGCTTTCCCCTTCCTCCTTTTTCCCGCTGTTCAGTCTGATCTTCTGCAACTTCCATGGATTTGGGGGAGAAGGAGAAGTTCGAGATGGAGAGGAGGAATGAGGAGAATCCCCTGGGCTTCCATGGCTACATGGCCGCAGATTCCTTCCGCCCCCGTCTCTGGGACCAACCCACGACTTCCCAAAACTCGCCCTTCTGCGACGCCACCAGAGGCCCTTCTCTGGCCGCGCCGCCGCGGCTCGAGATGGGTTGGAATGCCCCGGACTCCATCCCGAGGGCCGGCGGCGGCGCCGCCGCCAGCTGCTTCGGGCTCCTCCCGCAGAGCCGGCCGCAGTTCCCCGACGACCCGGGCTTCATCGAGCGGGCGGCGAGGTTCTCCAACTTCAGCAGCTTTCTCCCGAACACCTTCCGAGTCAACGACCCGGCGGGCATCTACGGCGCGCCGCCGCCGCCACCGCAGAAGGGCGAGGCCATCGCCGGAGAAACCTCTCAGAGTGCCGCCGCCTCTGTTGACAATGGGTTTAACGGGGGGAGCCCTCAGAAGGGTCGGAGAGACGCCGGCGGCGAGCCGGAGTTCTCCGGTGGAGCCCTGCCGGAGACCCCCAATTCGGACAACACTCACGACGAGCCTCCTTCCAAAGGACCCTCCTCCGGCGCCAAGAAGCGGAAGAGAGGGAACCAGGTAGGCCATTCCGCCTCCTCTTCTTCCTCCGACGACGTCCCCATTGCAGGACCTTCAAGCTTCTTCATCCTTCCCTCCTCGATCTGACAGGAAACTGAGACGGACCAGGGGAGGGCCGAGACCCAGTTCTCCGGCGAGACCTCCCAGGAGAACGCCGACGGCAAGCAGAGGAGCGAGCCGAAGAGTTCCTCGCCGGCGGGGAAAGGCGGCGGGAAGAACAGCGTTGACGGCGGCGGGGAGGCTCCCAAGGAGGACTACATCCATGTCAGAGCCCGGCGCGGCCAGGCCACCAATAGCCACAGCCTTGCCGAGAGGGTAAGTAAGCTCCTGCGGGAAGAATAACCAGACTCCCCGTCAGTTTTCAGTTTCAGTTTCAGACCCCGTTGACCGGAGAGTTGCTTTGAATCCACAGCTGAGGAGGGAGAAGATCAGCGAACGGATGAAGTTCCTCCAGGACCTCGTGCCTGGTTGCAGTAAGGTGGGTTCTTCATCTTTGTTCTTCCCCTTCGTCTCCAAATGAATGGCTCCACCTTCAGTCTGGTCTGAGATTCGAGAGGTTGCAGGTGACGGGAAAGGCTGTGATGCTGGACGAGATCATCAACTATGTCCAGTCTCTGCAACGGCAGGTGGAGGTAATCGATCCCCCCATCTTCTCCTTGCTCCTGCCCTCCTCTTCCGGAAGGGAGATCTACCATGGCTGAAGCCTGATCAGCAAAGGAGGAAGAACAGGAAAAAAGATGAAAAACTGTGATTTCTTCTTCCATGAGACCTATTTATTCCGGATTTCTTTCCACAGTTTCTGTCGATGAAGCTCGCGACGGTGAACCCTCGGCTGGACTTCAACATCGAGAGCCTCCTCTCCAAGGAGGTGGGGTACCTCCAGACAGTGAACACGGAAGACCAGGAAACAGAAAAAAATTATATTTTTCCGTTCTGGGCTTGATCCATTCGATGGGATTCCTCTCTCGCAGATGCTGCAGCCGAGGGGGATCTCTTCGTCCTCCTTCGATTTCTCTCCAGAGTTGGCCCATCCCCAGCTGCATCCTCCTCAACAGGGATTGATCCAATCGGGCATTCCTGGATTGGGAAACTCTTCGGACCTCCACAGGAGATCCATGAACGCTCAGCTCACTGCAAATCAGGTACGTTTACCCCATCAAGCCGCCATTTTTAGAAGTCTCCTCCTCACTTCCTGGAGCACATCTTTTTTGTCGCATAGATTCGACCCAGAGAGTGACGATGAAGTGGCTCTTTTCTGAAGCCACGGAGCTGTTTGCATTGAAATCCCCATTACTTTGCTTAAATCCCTTGTTTCGATTAATCCTCATATCCACTGGTGATGGAGACAGAAAACCCACGTCTCTCTAAATAGTAAATTATCCAAGAAAACTGGAAGATATCCGAGCCTAGAAACCGAGGAAGCAACCAAAAAAAAAAAAACCGAATGAGACCAATTCCCATGGCGGCTTATAAAGATTGCTCGAGGGGAGAACACATGAATAATTTTCATCAAGTAACGTGGAGTCGTAAGCCGGAATTATCATCTAGTTTTTAAATCCGGTGATATTATCGTCTGTGGTGCAGATGCCCGGTGCCTGGGACGAAGAACTCCATCACGTCATTCAGATGGGCTTCGGCGGGAGCACTCATCTGGGCGTCCAAGACTTGCATGGTGAGTCGTCCCACATTGAGCACCAAGATGATGATGATGATGATGAGCAGTGGAAGCCTTGTGATTTTTCATATTTTTTCTCTGCATTGGCCAATTCCACTTCCCTCCCTAAGTTCATGCGACCTTGACCGATGCAGGGTTCCCGCCGTTGGGTCCAATGAAAGCCGAGCCGTGATGTGATGATCGTTGACTCTTCTCATCTCTCTCTCGCTCTCTCTCTCTCTCTCTCTCTCTCTCTCCTCTCTCACCAGGTGGTAATAGAGGAGAAAAGCAGGGCAGCCGTGAAGCCAAAATGGGTAATTTATGCTGACGGGGTACCTCCGGCTAATGACACATCAGCTGTATAGGAAGAGGAGCTGGCTCGGACGAATCCATGTTATTTGTAATTTGTTCTTCTTTCATAAGATCCAGGGAGGAAGATAGCAAAAATGAGAGCTCCATATGTGGAGGATGATGAAGGGCTTAGATCGGTTCATCCAAACGTTGCTGTGAACGGGATCGACGGTGGTTGATTGGGGCACCTGATCTTCCTCATTAACCAGAAGCATGGGGCAGCATGTCTCAACAGAGCATGAAATAGATAATGAAATTAGGAAAATATCCCAGTTATTTCTGAGCTAAAATGCTCCCATTATCTCTGTGAGATGTTAGATTCTAAAGGTATTTTCTCCATTTATGAAAAAGTGAGAATATATATTTATTGACCGCCTGTGAATATTAGACCTTCGAAAGTTTAATAGACCAATTAAAAAATATAGTGAGTAGGAATTAATTCGCGTTTCTAAAATTATACCATCCTCGCTTTTTAGCACCGATTATTTGTGGTATTATGTTTATGAGGTGATTGGCGAGTATTTTCGTTGATTAATTGGCCTGCCAAGATCACCCTGCTTGGCATTATATCTATAATTATTCTCTCTCTCTCTCTCTCTCTCACTAGACTAGTGTGACCGGGGCCTGGTGCACGGAGACCCAGTTTGGGTATGTTTGCTATTATATATTTGGTGGAGGGGTTTATATGAAAATAGGAAGCAAGTAAGCATACGGCGCTGAAAAGCTGGGAAAGGGAATAATAACACAACTCGGCTGTCCATGTCCGCCCTTCCCCCCTTCGCCCACCACTGCGCCGCCGTCCTCCGACAGCTCTGCTCGGAATCCGGCGCCGCCCCCGGGCGGCGCCGCCTGAAGGAGCTTCACTGCCTCGTGTTGAAGACCTCCGTCGCCTCAAGCTCGGACCCCTTCGTCTTCAACACCCTCGTCACCCTCTACGCGAGATGCGGTCTTCTACCCCACGCCCGCCGCGTGTTCGACGGAATTCCCCATCGGAACCTCTTCTCGTGGAACGCTATTCTCTCCGCCTATTCGAAGTCTTCGAACCTCCCTGAGATGGAGGAGATTTTCCGGGGCATGCCCTCACGCGACGGAGTCTCATGGAACGCTCTCATCTCCGGCTACGCATGCTCGCGTGAGAGTGGCCGCGCAGTTGAAACTTATTCACTTATGCTGAGGGAAGGTTGTTCGAAGCCCAATCGGATCACATTCTCGACGATGTTGACTTTGTGTTCGGCATGGCCATCTGCAACGGTCGGCCGCCAGGTCCATGGACAGATAGTGAGGAGCGGGTTCGGAGGCTACCCCTTTGTAGGCAGCCCTCTGGTGGACATGTACGCGAAGGTTGGGCTGATTATTGATGCCAAGAAGGTTTTTGAAGAAATGCCCGTGAAGAATGTGGTTATGTACAACACAGTGATCACTGGGCTTCTGCGCCGGAGCATGGTGGACGATGCCAAGAACCTGTTTCGTGAGATGCCCGAGAGGGATTCCATATCGTGGACCACTCTGATCACAGGCCTCACCCAGAACGGGATCGAGGAAGAAGCCCTGGAATTCTTCCGGGAGATGGGGCTGCAGGGCGTGGCCATGGACCAGTACACCTTCGGCAGCATTCTGACGGCCTGCGGCAGCCTCTCAGCCTTGGAGCATGGTAAGAAGATCCATGCCCATATAATCAGGACCTGCCAGGAGGATAATGTGTTCGTAGGCAGTGCCCTGGTCGATATGTACTCAAAGTGTGAGCGCGTGAAGCACGCAGAAGCAGTCTTCAGGCGAATGAGCTCCAAGAATGTCGTCTCTTGGACGGCGATGCTGGTGGGCTACGGTCAGAACGGCCTCAGCGAAGAGGCTGTCAGGGTTTTCTGCGAGATGCAGAGACAAGGGGTCGAACCGGATGACTTCACCCTCGGGAGCGTCATCAGCTCCAGCGCCAATCTGGCGAGCTTGGAGGAGGGAGCGCAGCTGCATTGCCTGGCGCTGGCGTCAGGTTTGACCTCATTCGTCACGGTCTCCAATGCGATTATTACTCTGTATGGAAAGTGTGGTAGCATCGAGGACTCGCAGAGGCTGTTCGACGAGATGGATATCAAGGACCAGGTCTCATGGACGGCTCTAGTGTCGGGTTATGCCCAGTTTGGGAAGGCGAAGGAGACGATGCTGCTCTTCGAGAGGATGCTCTCCGACGGCATAAAGCCAGACGGGGTCACATTTATCGGCGTTCTTTCAGCCTGTAGCAGAGCAGGGCTGGTGGAGAAGGGGCGGGAGCTCTTCAATTCCATGCCCAAGTATGGAGTCTCCCCGATCGCCGATCATTACACCTGCATGATCGATCTGTTCAGCCGGGCAGGGAGGCTCCAGGAAGCGGAGAATTTCATCAAACAGATGCCGGGTCAACCCGATGTGATTGGTTGGGCGACGATGCTTAGCTCGTGCAGAATCCACGGTAACCTGGAGATCGGAAGGTGGGCGGCAGATTCTCTGATGAGACTGGAGCCGCAGAACCCTGCGAGCTATGTGTTGCTGGCGAATATGTACGCCTCCAGAGGAGAATGGGCCGAGGTGGCCGAGCTGAGGAAGAGGATGAGGGCTAGGAGGGTGAGGAAGGAGCCCGGCTGCAGCTGGATCAAGCACAAGAACAGGGTCCATATCTTCTCCGCCGACGACCGATCCAGTCCTTACTCTGATCAAATCTACGCCAAGCTTGCCTGGCTGAACGAGAAAATGGTGGAAGAGGGATATAATCCTGATACGAGCTCCGTCCTGCATAATTTGGAGGAGTCCGAGAAGGTGCAGATGCTGAGCCACCACAGCGAGAAGCTCGCCATCGCGTTCGGGCTGATCTTCGTGGCTGATGGATTACCCATAAGGGTTGTCAAGAATCTTCGGGTCTGTGTCGACTGCCACAGCGCCACCAAGCATATATCCAAGATAACGGGAAGGGAGATCCTCGTGAGAGACACAGTCCGGTTTCATCTGTTTAAAGACGGGCTGTGTTCTTGCGGAGATTTCTGGTGAGATTTCGGTGGCTCTTGCTCCAGACCGGAACCATTTTGTAGGCACCTGGTATCGCACAGAGATTGGACTGGAGTCGGGGGCGAATCGTATTTTTTCTGAAGATCAGGTGACGGTGATTTTTCTTTTTTCTCGAGTGAGTACACGATTTTCCCGATTCTTCGTCAAAACCTGAGTTCAGAATTCTGTGAATATGCGGAAATCAGAAGATCTTACGGTTCTGATTACACGAACTATGCATGTTCCGTGAAATTGAAATGACTAGGAGCCTGTAATCGGATCGTAGGGCAAGCAGCCGACCAGCTTTCCGATGTTCTAATCCTCTTCCCTACTGCCATCAATCACCATGTCTATCGCCTCAGATTGCAGTTTTGGACAAAATTTCTTCCCGTCTGCGATGTTCTTGCAGCGGAATCTCTAATCCTTCCATGGGTCGGTCTCCGTCCTCACCTCCGAGGGCTCCACCACCTCGGCCCCGGCCGCTGAGCTCGCATCGCCTTCCTCGGCTTCCGCCGGTGAAGCATCTTCCTCTTCGTCTTCCGGCCTCCCCCATCTGCCTCCGAGGGCGATCGCCATCATCTGATATATCTTGTTGCCCAGCTCCGCAGGGCTGTCAGGCTGCACCACGCATTTTCCCGAAAGGGTAAGCGGGAGATGGCCAGAGTATGGGAACGAGAGGAGAAAGGAGACTTACAGTGAAGCCACTGGAGATCAGGGCAGTGTCATATAGCAAGTCGACGGCTCTCGTTGCTTCACTGCTGTTGGGGTCGTTCTTGCATGCAGCCTATACACGAGAAGAAGAAAAAAAATCTGATATTAGTGTCGTCCTCTTCAAAGGTAAATGAGCAAGCTTTGCAGCAGGGAGACGAGCTGGCAAAGTCAGAAAGCCCAGAAAACAGGAAGAATAAAGACCATCCAGCAGGTAGCTGGCTAGCTAGATTGCAATTTTGGACAGGTGGAGGAAGACTTAGCCAGAGTACAGGGCAACCCAGATAGGAAACCAGGCCAATTCACATCCCTATCGACTACAAAGGAAACTGCTTTGGAAACACCCGGATGGATTAAAGATCTCACATTCAGGTCCTTGATGATCGGGTGATCGGGGTTGATCTCCAGGATTCGACGGCCTCTCATGAACTCCAAGCTGGATGTGTCTCCAAGAGTCTGTGCCTTCATCAGCCTACAAGAAACCAAACCCCTTCAGCAAGATCAATCTGGCCGGGCAAGCAGTTTGAGGGAGTGATCGCGACGGGTCACGCTACCTTTCCATGTTGGCAGACCAACCAAACTTCCCAGAGACAAGCACACAGGGCGAAGAGCTGAGCCTCTTTGAGACTTGGACTTTGGCTACCTTGTCACCAAGCTGCTGCTTCAACCAGTCGCACAGAAGAGTGTACTCCTGCTTGTTCTCTCTGTCCTTCACCTCATCCTCATCACCTGGTTTGGGATCTCAGATCACTATAAGTGTGGAAGGGGGGGGGGGGGAGAGAGAGAGAGAGAGAGAGAAAGATAGATATACACAGAGAGAGAGGGGATCCAGAGCAGGGAGACTCACCCAATTCAAGGTCTTCTTTACTGATATCAACAAATTTCTTCTCTTTGTAGGTCTGCAGGTTCTGGATTGCGACCTCATCGATAGGCTCGACCAGGTAGAGGACCTGGGGGAAGCAATAAGAAGACACAGACCATGTGAGCACGAGAGAAAGTTACAAAGAATCGAACCTTGTACAGTGAACAGTGCATACTTCGATGTCCTTCTGGACTAATTTCTCCAGGAAAGGAGCTGTCTTGGCGCTCTTTAGGCTGTCTGTGGCCAGGTAGTAGATGGCCTTCTGGTTCTCTCCCATGTTCTCCACATACTCGTCCAAGCTTATCAAATCGTCCTCGTTCTTGGAAGAATGGAACCTCAACAGTGGCGCGAGGCGCTTGTGATTACCCGAGTCCTCAATGCAGCCCAGCTTCAGAAGCTTCCCAAAGTTCTCCCAGAATTTCTTGTAATCCTACAGGGCATCGATGTAAATCGGCCACAATTATTTTTATAAAAAAGAAAATATAATATTGACACAGAATGAAACTACCTCCTTGTTCTCGCCCTCTGATATCTCCTGAATCATGTCGAAGGTTTTCCTAACGAGCCTCTTCCTCATGATCCTCACCTGGAGAATTTAGAGGTAAAACTGTCATCAAGAGGCTCAGATCTAGCAGGAATTTGCTCACCAGGCAATCATCAGACTTACTATTCGACTTTCTTGAAGAATCTCACGGGAAACATTGAGAGGCAGATCATTGGAATCGACGACACCCTTCACAAAGCTCAAGTACCGAGGGAACTGCACAGGGAAGACAATTGCTTTAACTTTTCTCAATGATAACGGAATATTTCTTTCTCTCTCTTCATGGTAGAGACTGTGGGTTTGCGCACCAGCTCGCCATCAAAGTCATCTGAGATGAAGACACGCTTCACATACAGGCGAATGTTCTTCGTCTTGGGGTTGACCACGTCCTCGTTGTTGAGGGGAGCCATCCCAGGTATATATAGGACGCTTCTGAATTCCACTTCACCCTGTTAAAAAAAAGAAAAAAAAAAATATCACTGCTTATACGAAAAACGGGCATACATGAGACAAAACCTCAAAGCCATCCACAAAGCACACCTCTGTGTTGAAGTGAGTGTATCCGAGGGGGTCCAAGAATTCATTGAATGTCTTCTTGTAGAATTCATTGTATTCCTCCTTTGACACCTCCTTTGCGCTCCGCATCTGGTGATGGATGACTATATAAAGTAAAAATCTAACGGAGTTGGGAAGGATAAGCTTTAAATGAAAGGGACAAAAAAAAAACCAGCAGGGCACCAGTGAGATGGTCAAAGAACCCTATACATAGAAAAACTAAGTAATAGAAGATTAGTAGATATTATGCCATCCATATAAATACAGCCATAAACCTAAGTAGACACATATGCCACAATAAGCTTAGAAGAAATCGATACAGGAATGCAATATTTACAGTAATCTGAATCTATTATCTAAATCTTACCCAGATAGGCTTCGTCTCATTGGCCAACTCCCAGTCCCAATATTTTTCAGTGACCGACTTGGTTTTCTTTTTCGTTTCCCCCTGTGGACACATGCAGGTGTCAGGCAAGTTGACTCGAGCACAGAGTCCCAGGAAATCCAAATGAGGATTACTAGACTATCAAGGGCATCACCTCAGCCTTTGCTTCTTCACCTTCATCTGCCTTCTCTTCCTCTTCTACCTACAAGCCATAACATCGGAGATTAGGGAGGAAGGGGAGAGAGAGAGAGAGAGAGAGAGAGAGAGAGAGGAGTAAAAAGTACGAAAATACTGATAAAATTAATATATAAGATCAACTACTGGGAAATCTTTTATCACTACCTCCACGGTTCTTGATTTCTCCTGCCAAGTGTAAATGGGGAAGGAAACAAACTGTGAGTAGTTCTTCACCAACCCCTGAATTCTTGTTGGCTCCGCGAACTCAAACTTGTCATCTGACTGGAGGACAGTAGAATATGAAGAGACCCATCAATAAATTACAAGTACATAGCTCACAGAAGGAAAATAACAAATAAATGAATACAACTTACATACCCTCAAGTAAAGAGTTATTTGGGTCCCTCGACGAAGAAGCTTCTCGGGATCAGTCTCTTCCCTTATAACATATGCACTGCTGTCGGCCACAGCTTCCCAGACATACTGCTTATCGGATTTTGGACTCTTTGTTGACACAACCACCTAAAGACATTTTGCCATAAAATGAATAAAAATGGAATAATCGAAAAGAAATGATGATCACACTTTTAAAAAAAAAAACTTTCTGAAATCAGAATCCATGGCCGTTTCAACAGAAATCCAAAAAAAAATAAAAATCGCTTCAGTAATTCTTTACAATTGTCAAGGTACGAAACCATAGGAAGAAATAAACGCAAAATTTTCCTAATCTGTAATGTCTGGCATACCCTGTCTGCAACAAGAAAAGCTGAATAGAATCCGACACCAAACTGACCGATCAAACCATTGTCAGCTCCAACATCCTTATTTTCCTGTCAAGAGGTCATATCAAGATTAGTTTTTGAATCTTCAGAAAGTGCATAGATGCGAAGAAGAGCAAAGGAAACACCTTCAGAGCCTTCAGGAATTTAGATGTTCCACTCTGGGCGATAGTTCCAAGACAGTCGATCAGTTCTTCCTTCGTCATCCCAATTCCAGTGTCACTGCAAGTCCAAGAAGTCATTTTAGAGGCCCCATGAATCGTAAAGAAGGAAGTATAGGATGTAGGGGGATAACGGGATCTCACGAGATGGTAATGGTTCCATTCTCTGAGTCGGGCTTGATGCGGATCTCCAGTTCGCCCGAATCACCAAGAAGGGAAGAATCTGTAACGCTTAGAAATCTTAATTTGTCCAGGGCATCGCTCGCATTACTGAAACAGCATCGATCGGATATCAGTACATATAGTAGAAGCTGAAGAAGACATCAATCAGCCGGACTCAGGAAAGCTAAAAATGAGAGAGTTTAAGGTATAAAACTACTGGTTCATCTGATTAAAGATGAGAAGAAGATAAACCATCAAGTTTCAAACTAGGAACATGAGAAATATGCTTACTACCATGTTCAAGAGCATTACATCAAGAGGAAAAAAAAATGTGGGTCAGACGTATGTGGGGATAGGGGGGAAGGGAGATGATAGAACTAACCTCACAAGTTCACGCAGAAAAACCTCCTTGTGGCTGTACAAACTGTGAACAATCAAGTCCATCAGGCGGCTAACCTGAAAAAGATAGAAAGAACAAGTTTAAGGGGAACAGGCATTCAGCTGAGACGCTTACTTACAGGAACAAAGTCAGAGTTATCAATATTCAATAATTCAACACTTCTAACCCGGCAGATTCCCAATTGAATCAACATGAAGAAATTTTAAGCGTGAAAATAACAAGTTAATTCGACATTCCTGTTCAAAGAGTCTTAAGAAAACATCACAAGACATCCAAATCATCTCGAGCTTACTGGCGGAACCAATAAGGAAGAATGACACCAATCTCAGAAAGATAGGCATGCAGCATAATAACGTTGATAACGACATCAACAACACTTACACGCGAAAGAAGAAGAAGAATATATATCACGAGAATATGGACTACTCGTTTGAAAATCACTCTAGTATGGTGATGAAATAAGGAGTCAATTGAGAATCGAAAGGAAGAACCACAATTTTTTTTGTCAGCGAGCCAGAAAAAAGAACAGCGATATCATGTCAAATCGTTCCGCAGCCGAGTTTGACTTCCCCTGATAGATACGAAGGAATATCGGCACTGGTAGCCAAATAAACCTTGATGCGGCTCGGAAGAACATGATACACAATAGGCGATTTTTCCTCGAAATCGGGGGGGGGTTCACTATATCCGACGCGAGGAGAGGCCATGGTGGATGAAGAGCATAACAGTTCCTCACCTCAGCCTGGTACTCGTACTTCTCACCGGGAGCATCTTCGGTGGCATCCTTCTCGGCCACCGCTGCATCGCACCGGACAACCCCCCGGCTCTCCCTCTTCTCCTTATTCCATCGCAGACGGGCGGAGAAGCTCTTCCTGCCCAGAGACCGTGAGGAAAGAGAGCCTCCGAAACCCAGGGAAGACGCTCTACTGCTGCTCGTCGCCAACGGGGAGGAGGAAGAAGAGAAGAGGAGGGCCGCCGTGGAGGGAGTGCCCAAGCTCCTGCTCAGCACGGGCGCCATACCCTCTAGGAAGGAGAGCAGAGGCCGCGACTACTGAGGAGAAAAGAAGGACCTTTGTGGATAAGAGACTGGCTGGAATCCGAAATACCCAAACCCCCAGGGCACTGCCTGCTCGGGGTTTTAGTTTTTAAGCGGGGTACTGGGTGAGACGTAGACGCTTCTAGAAAGCTTCGGATGATATTTTTCTTTCTCCAGCGAACCTTGTTTTCACTATTTTTTTCTTCTGTTTTATGACGTCATATTTCCCCACAAAGAAATATGATGCATATCAGATCTTAAATGGCTCAGGCTGAGGCTTGGGCCATCCAGGAACACGTAAAGCTTTCGCCTTTTTTTTTTTTTTTTACTATTTTCGTATTTCAGAAAATAATGATTCGGACTTTATGGAGTAGATTTCCATCTTGTAGTGGCCATTGGTAACATCTATACTGTAGGAATTTAATTTTTATTAAAATATTGTTATTTTAAAAGTAAAGCAAAAAGCTGTCTGAACTATACATTGAAAATGATTGTTATAAGTTCATTATTTATAATTTTTGTAAAATATCTTGATTACCCAGCTAAAATCAAGATGATATTTAACTAACCCATCACAAAGATTATTCTAAAAAATTCATTAAAAATTAACGTAAAATGATATGGATTGGACGCCAGTGATCATCCTTATGAAATATGTTTTTATGATTAGTGGTTTATCTAATCTTAATCGGCCAGTAATTATCAATAACTATGGTCTTATATGGGAACCATCCGGACAAAACTAGTCAATTTTATTTTTTACTTTAAGGCATCAATTGCTAAACTTGGTATTTAAATTATTATGAAATGATAACTGTAGGAACAAGATTTTGTGACAAAAACTGTGACTCATGGTCGTTCAAGTAGATCTCAATTGGTCCATTATTATTACTGATAGTTTTGATTAAATACACGTAGATGATTGGTTCATGATTTCAGCTGCTAACAATAGTGTGGTATTAGTTTAAATAAATGATAATGTCTGGTGTGCAGTCCGAGCGCACTGGATAGAGCTAGACTATTATCACCAATTCTAAAAACAGTGGCCTTGTCTCTGCTTCATCTCAATGCTAATTATGGATAAGAACACCATTATCAGCAAAGACGTTCATCTCATCTTCCAAGACCCAATATACGACCCGTTGACTCGGATCAATCTTATAGCAGGGATTAAAGAGACCCTTTGGTCTCACCAAACAGAGAAACAATGGAGGCGAAGTAGACCCCTTAATCTCGTCATAAATCAACCAATCATATGATTAGATCCAAATAAACTCGAAAATAGTAAGCATTTATGGGTACATTTGATTACGAAACTGTTGAATACCAAATCAAGAAACCCAGCAACAACTATTTACAGTATGGTATTCATAACAATCGGTTTCTACAACAATAAATAAATAAAAATCCTGTCACATCTTTTCACTTTGAGAAAAAAATAAGAAAAATTAGTTTTTCCAATCACCCTCCTCGTGAGCAGTTACCCATCATTCGATTTCGCCATTGAAGAAAAATGGGCATCATAGAGCTTACCTAGTGTGTTTCTCTCTCTAGACACTAGGAGATTAGGTGTCTGATGGTAGGAGTTCAGTCAATATCCCGGAAAACCCAGCTGGTCAATCAGTTAAAACTTGGAATAAATCCCAATGTAGATACTGACCTCTTTCCATATATTTCAGGGCCCGGTGTGCGGTTGCTTGAAGCAATCGATGTTGCACAGCCCCACAGATCTCATCATTCCCCCGAAACTGTAGCATAAAAATAAATAAATAAATAACATGTTCATGATAATGATATTATAAGCTGTGAAAGAATAACGAGAAAAAGGTGAATCTATGGTTGGCATTGGGATCCATCTAACCGATCAATGCTGTTCCTTGGTTTCTCTGGCTGATCAGTGCTGCTCCTAGGCTTTTCAGAGCGATCAGTGCTCTTCCTTGATCTTTCACTCTTATCGGTGCTATTTCTCGCCTTCTCTCTCTGGTCAGTGCTCCGCCTAGGCTTCTCCCTGCAGTCAGTACTTGGCCTAGGCTTTTCTCTAGAGTCAGTAATTGGCCTGGGCTTCTCTCTGCGGTCAGTACTTGGCCTGGGAAACTCTCTGCATTCAGTGCTCGGCCTAGGCAACTCCATCTGGTCGGTACTCTTCCTAGCCAGGCCCAAATAATCAGCACTCCGCCGGGGTTCATCAGAAAGCTCGATGGTAAACACAGATCTGCTCCCGCTTGGGGTTGACTTCTCCATGGCTGATATGAACCTCTTAAGGTGCCTGATGTACTGAGGATACAGCTCCAAGTCGCAGTGGTTTCCCCCAAGAATCCAGAGGGGCTCATACTTCTGCTTTGAAAGCTCATACAGGCCTCGTCCATGCGAGCAATCAACAGTCTTGTCAGCTGTCCCCTGAACCAACTCAGATATATTATCAAAATTGGAGAGGATCATTGCAAAATAAGACCATCGATAGAGGTTTAGGGTTGTTAAAGACAAGCTTTTTTCATGCATTATATAGAAACTCCTAGCAGGGGATGGCCACCAGCAAGTTATATCAAAACCAATCAATACTTCTCCATATATCAGATAAAAGCTCCATGGGATCTTCGCTGGTGAAGATCTGGATAGGCATGATGGTTTGAACGATGATGGGATGATAGAAATGTTAAGCAGATCAAACAAAGTCGAGAGAGGAAGATCATGCAATCATCACTGTTATGGTTGAAGATTTCAGAATATAATTGTTGGGCTGCAGAGGACAAACCCTTCACGCTCTTCTTTCCTCAAAGAAGACAACAAGAGGCAAGAGGAAAGAAGACAATCTCAAACTACAAGGAAAAACCTTTCTCTGACACAAGTCGATAGATCTCAAAAATCTGCGTCCAAATATACCTTTTATATAAATGGGGACCCATGTTCCTCAACAGAGAATTAAGGTTCCCAATATTAAGGATAGGTAATGTCAAAGGAAGCCAAAGAGTGCATTCTCCCCCCTACCCCCAACCACCAACCAAAAACCTCCACCCACTTATTTCCCAGCAGTTCAGGCTGCCATCATAGGAGGCATACCAGTGGAGAAATGGCGTGAGCAGGACTTGATGGCGGCCCAGACCGTGCTCGACAATTTGGCTGTGTGCCTGCCATAAGTGGTGTGGGAGTGGCTGCGGGCGCTCAGAGCCAGAGAGCCTTCTGCCGGGAGGAAACGCACTGGATGGGGGACCCTGACATGGGAGGTGGTGGAGAGGAGGGATAGACTGATGATTATCCTGCTTGGGTCTGGTCTTTGCCTTTGATGAGGTCTGGTCTGAAGTCCAGAAGCATGTCAACCGCCCTCTCTTCACCCCAAGACGCATGCAACACGCCCACCATATTCCCTGTAGCAGCAGCCACCCGCCTACACCTAATCAATGGCAGCAAACCTCCCTGAGGCAAATCCCCCCCAGCCCTTCTCAGCGCACACTGACATGCAGCACTATCAACCACGAAATATTACTGTAATCAACAACAAATACAAGGTATTGGCACAAATACTACCCATCAGGCATTGCCAGTACACATTATTCATTGCCCATTATCGCTTACAAGTCACTGACTGCTACTGCCAACCATCATCGATCTCCACCCAAAACTAATACTCCAATGGCCACCTGTGACCACTGCCACTGTCTACTAATGCCAACAACTGTGGTTATAAGATTGCCAAAAACCTTCCCTATTTTAGTATCATTAGATATCATTTCAGCCAGATCTGACAAATTGTCGTTGAATTTGTTCAGCTTTCTACACACCCAGTCACTTACATGAACTCCTACAAAAAGGCACAAGGATCCTAATCAAGGTAACTCTAGACAGAATAGTGACCTGATGTAAAGGGTACCAAGCAGGGATCAGTCGTGCCCCAACAGATCAAAATGGGGATCAGTTCAGCCTAGGACCAGCCAATTTGTCCGCACCATTGAAATATATGAACATATTTCGGATGATTAAGAATCCCGCACCCAAAATTAGACATAATTACCTTCTTAGCTATGTAGTCAGGTTCATGCAACCAAGTAACTTCACCGAACTCTGATAAATATTAGTCATTTTATGACACAGACAACAGAAAAGACCAAGGATCTACTGAGATAACTCCCTTTCTGCAACCGAGGAGAAAGAGATGTGCAGTTTATAGCATACATGAACCACTCGAACCATTCTAAAAGGATGTCATGCACAGGAAAAAAAGGAAGAAAATCAGATATAATTTGAGTGAAGTGAACAATGGCGGAAATTTGAGTTACCAAAAGAAAATGATAAGCGTTTTTCATTGAGCTACTAAAGAAATTGTGCAACAACTCGCGTATTTAGCAACTCATGGGAAAAAAAATAAAATTGCAGAGTTGTGACAGCAGCTACTCACGTAAAGGTGAAAGAAAAAGATTAAAGCAACCTTCTTACTAGGGAAGTTATTTATTACAAGGAGTATGCGCAGTCTACCACATAAGTCATATAGGTTACCTTTCGAAACCATTTAAGGACAATATTTGGTCAACGCTGATCCAGAACAAGGTCAGCGATAGTTGGCCGGATTTCGGACGAAGGGTTTCCAACCACAAACACAAGACCGGCGCCCAGCGCACAATCCTCCATTGAACGGTTTCTTCCCCCTGCCAATCACTGACACTGACGGCAATGAAAGCCATAGCGGCAGAATGAGAAAAAGGAAGAGAACAAACCAACTTAAGACTCCACTGATTGCCACTGCCCATCACCTATAGTCTCATTCTGTACACCATCCCCAGGCACACAAGGCGATAACTGAGATCTGGTTGTTTCCAGAAATGTTTGTAAAAATGTCCTTTTACTGGAAGTTTGTGTTCTCAAACAACACATTTTTTGTGTGTTTGTGTATCCTTTTGTCTTTCAAACCCGGTTTTAGTATCCTCCACCGATCAGCCAGACAATCTGATCCTGATCAGATCAACCATAGCTGAACTAGTATACCAATCCAATTCCAGATTCATTGGGTGTTAATCTTCTTCACGCAGACATCCCAACAAAATCAGAAAGGAAAATATCAGAAAATGTTTTCATCTTAAACTTTCTCTGCAAATATCCATCAGTAATGCAAGAATCTATACAATACAGTTCATGTGCAATAATCAATAAATTGTGCATCTCCATGTGACATCCCTTAGAGACATGTAGGCATAAAATCAAAGCATCGATAAGCCTGTGTAGCTGAAATTTGATCTACGCGTATTATATTCGCACCTACTAACAAACTGAATGCAATCTGAAAGTTAGTCAGTCGTGAAAATGAAGTCAGAGAAGAGTATACTCACATGAATTACTAAAACAGGGCAATTAACCAGTGGGATTTTATCAATGTTCTGCAGAAACAGACAGAAAGATAAAGTTTAGGATGCAGATGAGCTAAACAGTGCATCATCAGACAAGGAAATAGAGAGCACAAAAGGAAACCTTATATATGTCAAACCAATACGTATGCTTCACAGGGTACATAACACGCAGGCCAGACAAAATAGGACTGTGCAGAACCACTGCTCTCAATCTAGGCTGCTGAGTTGCTAAATCCAAAGTTGGACCACTACCAACTGACTGACCATACAATATTACATCCTCCTCATGTACACCATACTTCTCCACGAGGCATTTGAAAGCAGCCTCTATGTCTGCATAAGTATTTTGCTCACTTGGCTGCGAAGAGAAAACTAAAATGATTAAACCTCATATGTTGAATTTTTTCGCTGAAACATTACAACCCAAAGATAACAAGGTTATCATACTATATACCTTCCCAGATGACTGGCCATATCCAGAATAATCGTACCTGAAAATTAATAAGACCCAAATTAAAGCAGTCTATTGCCCAAAATAAAAGGTACAAATTGTAAACAAACGAGGAAAATAGTTGACGAATAAATTACTGGTTGTGAAAGAGAAGTGAAACCGCACAAAGAAATAAAAAAAGTGTTTCTGCCTGACAACTGGCCTCACATATTTTTTGGGAAACCCTCACCTAGTAAACGTAGCTCAGCCAATTAATTTCTCTGGCTGTTATCACAATGCACCAAATTATTAATGTCTCCAAAATTATAGATTCATTGATGATTAACTCACCTAAGATTCAACAGGTAAGGCTTATGATGACCATGACAAAGGATAAGTAAATAAAAGTGTCTCCTCAAGATAAAATATTAATGAGAAAAAATTAAAAGGGGGCGGTTGGGCAGGGATTTACATTGCTAACTTGACAATTCTTTGACATTTTCCACGTCAGTTGATTCCTCTTGCTTTATTGGGTATGTTTTCATGTGTTGAAAGGAAAGGCCTGCTTTTGTACATTTAAGAATCTAGCAGTTGATCCATTAAACCTGAGGTTACTGGTTTCAGACATCTATTTGACAAACAATAGAAACAACACAGTACTCAAGTAAGGCCATATTCCTATGTTGCTTACCCAGCTAAACCGACCAAATATAATACCCAAACTAATCTTTCGAAAGACATAGCAGTTGCTACGAAAAAGTAATTTACCACTTCAACTTCAGAGTGTACCCCATCAGGTCTCGGAAAATGGAAGTTCCATTACTAAATAAACGTATTCATTGATTCCTCTTCATTCATAATTTTCCATGCTTTACGAAAAACATCAAATAAAATTTATCTGCACTGCCTATTTTACATAGAAAAATAATATTTATAGGAATCAATCAACAGCTCATCACATCCTTTGCCAAATGGGGAGCTGTTAACATCAAAGGAGGAAGAAATATGACCATGATCCAAAAGCTTTCGTATTGGATCAATTAACAAATGCAAACAAAACTTACTCGAAACATGGATTCTAAAGATTATTGTCTAGGAACACGAATAAGATTGCAAAAAAGGTGATTCATGACAGCATGAATCATAGATATGCTTTACATATATGTTCTAAGAATATTTTCGTTAATCCCTTGGGCAACAATAATTGGTCATTGCTCACAAATGACGGATTGTATGTTGCTTCAGGGTGAACATCTTCGACGTTGTTTCTTTAAAAAATAAGGGAACAATGAGTCAGAAATATGTTATCATCTACTTCAAAAAGTAGAGGAGAACAAATACACAAACAACACATAAGGTCAGGGAATTGGGGATCTCGTTCTTAATAGACAATTCAGCCACTACAAGGCATGGGAACATTAAGATTCAAACATAGAAGTCATCCTTCTCTGCATCTAAAATGTCCAAATCATACAACATAGTGTTAATAGGAACATTATTTTTTTTGCAGACATAAACGTTCTATAAGTTTGATCATCAGAAGGGGTTCACAGGCCAGCATAACATCGATGTCAGTGCAGTATATTACAGGCTATTTCATGGAATAGTTTCCTTGTTTAACCTCAATAGGGGAGAAGGACAATCGTTCAGTTTCACACTTCGAGACAACTCTTTACCCACGATTGATCAAATTGCCTTAACTTAATTGGAATCGATAACATGACAATAGAGCTACTTGGAAATCATATAAAAAAGAAAGAAAATATCCTCAATTTGAGAATAATAATTCATCCAAAGCCCTAAAGCACGCAGATATTCTCTCTGGGGGTAAACATCGATAAACAGTGACCACTGGAGGCAACCCGAGCAATATATTGAAAGAATGCATGCGCAGCATCCATTTAGATAGGCCATCAAATCCAAGGAGGCCGAAACGAGACTCTTTCCTCGACCTATGAGTTCAGAAAGCAGATATTCAGATTCGCCACGCTTTTGATTGATCGAATTCGGACATGCAATCGTCCTGTCATGCAAGAGCTCAAACGAGTGCCGTACTGGAAGCGACAGGAAAGAAAGCGAGGCAAAAACTCAGCGCGCTCCCACTCACCCCATCACGTTGACGCGCAGATGGATACTGAGCTGACTGAAGAGCTCGTACAGCTGCGCGAGGTCGGCGGCGTTGCCGTGCGAGTATAGCACGGTCAACTTCGCGGACGGGTTACGGATGTACACGGCGACGACCTCATTTCCTCTCTTCGTCTTCAGCTTCACCACGTCCACGTTCTCCCTCTGTGGCACCCCTGACATGGCCAACTTCCCCGTAGCCGCGTTCTCCTCCAGTACATACGACGGCGGTGTTGGAGGGAAGAAAGCGAGCTTCGCCGCCATCGACGACGTCACCGTCCCCATTCCTCCAGGATTTGGAAGAACGAGGGGAGTGGTCGAGCTCCCAGACTCGGAAAATTTCCGATTCTCTTCCTGCAAGCAAACTGAATCAACTCAACAAAATGTCCGATCAACCTCCACGCTAAGTTGGGGGATCACCGGCGTCCTCCGCCGCCGCGTGGTAGGACGAGGGCCGCCAACTGGGGAAGGGAGAGGAGCCGAATCTCCACGTCTACCCAGTATCGCGCGGCATCAATCCAATTTATTGCGGGTGGATTTCAAAAAATTCGAAGGGACGCGGTCAAACCCGCCGCTGACCGCCAGCGAGCGGGAGGATGGGTAACGACGGCGGTCAACGACGGCGGGGGGGCCGCACGGCGGCGGCGGAGAAGGGGGGACGGCGAAGCAGAAGAGGGTAAGCGCGCGTGCTACACCATCCTATCGCACGTGCGAGCACGACAATTACGGGATTTTCCCTCCCACCTCCCCCCAGCCTTTTCAACTCGGCGCAGCTGATCCGACGGCACCGACCGGGCGCTGGCGCGCCGGCCGAAACGTGGACGGCGGGATGTTGTTGGGCCTACCATTGGGGCCCACTTGAGGCGCTCTTTCGGGATACTGGCCTGGTCCCTTTCACACATCCGAGGGCCCATGTCTATTAACGGTCAGCGGTATCGTGGGTACGGATCCTAGTTATGGTTTCCCAAGAGGGGCCAGACAGTTTCCTGGTTATGAGGATTGTAATTAATGAGTCATCCCTCATTTAAATATATTTAACCATTTTTATATATTTAGTATATTTTCAATGCAGAAAGATAGCACATGATCTTTAGGCTTGTCGTGATTAGAAGTTTTCTTATATTTAGAACCCCAAAGCATCTTGAATTGGTAAAAACAACTCCATTTTGTTGAATTTGGAAAAATATCCATCCTCCCAAGACAACAACGCCTTTTAAATATGCCTGTCTGCGGCCCCCACGTGTCCCTCAATGCATCCGTTGTCGGCCGGAATCTCAGTCATGGCACTTTGTTTGGTTTGGTGACACCTTGTTAAGATCTCACGATAGCCATCGCCATCATCTGGCCCTCTATTGGGATGCAGTTCGTCAATTGGGACGGGGGAAGAGAGAGAGAGAGAGAGGTTGTGATCTCAAGGGCGGCCGCCGGGAGGTCAGCGACAGCGAGCTCTGATCTCGAAAACTAGGAGCTCATTGTCTCCTCACGCCTCCGACTAGAGACGGTCTCTCCGGCGTTTTCAACGGCGGCCCTTTTCAGAGGCCTTCGTTCACGTGTGGGCCTGGTCCTCCCTCGAGGCTCCGGCAGGAGACCTCCTGGGTCCTGTGAGGTGGCCAGGGTTTAGTGTAGAGCTTGCTGGCCATGGGAATATGGCCGGAGGATGCGAACAAGGAGAAGAAGATAAACACTGTTGAGTGTTAACTCTGCGTGCCCTTGGGGCCAGTGCGTATTGAAACTCGGTCCCCGCTTCAAGGGGAGATAGTGATGGAGAGAGAGATAGAGATAGATAGAGAGAGAGAGGGAGAGAGAGAGAGAGAGAGCAATGGAGGAAGAGGGGGGAGATTTATATGTAGATGGAGAGAGGGAAGACGTGGTCCTAAAGCTTTTGTACAGTCACATAGAAGGAAATGTATTGGCTTAAATGGAAATTCTTTCGAATACAAGGCAAGAAACCTGATTCACACGCTCCCCATGAAAATATCGGAGAATTAGATGAATTTGTAGTATCTTCCCATATTTTAGCTCATTTGTAGACAAATCATACCACATGGGTTATAACAATTGTACCCTACTCAAATATCTCACAAAATAATATGGGAAATGAGCTTTATAGCATAGTTTTTTTTTACCAGTATTTTCCATAGCAGACTATTTGAAAAGCAGATAGTTAACTTTAGAGTGGTTTCACGTGGTCAATGGACAATGCTACAATAGACTAAGTAGTACCATGCTGAAGATCCATCCCTGGTCTTATAACTCGACGTGGAACTTGAGGAGTAGATTGCGCCCGTGTTGTTAAGGATATATGCCAAGGTTCGAGTGCATAAAGACGAATTAATCTATTCCCCGTGTCTTCATGTGAAGCGAGGAGACAAGGATGGAGGAAATCGGCAACGATGGTCACCACGGAAACCGAGAAAATCACTAACACCCTTAGGAACGATTCATGTGTGCTGGTGACCTAGTTTGAGAGAGAGAGAGAGAGAGAGCGAGAGCGAGAGAGAGAGAGAGAGAGAGAGAGAGAGAGAGAGAGAGAGAGAGAGGGAGAGAGAGGATAGATACCCGGGTTGCGAACCTGCTGACACGGCTCTCGAAAGAAGCCCACCCAGTGAGGGGAGGGTTGGGTGGCGCGCCCTCGTGTTCTATGCTCCCGGAACCCCAAGCTCCAAATTGCCGTTCCTTTATTATTAATGATATGATGGTGAGTGCTTCTATGGAAAAACCTCGCCCAATTACTTTCTTTCCCACGTTCCTCAGGCTCTGGATTTGATGCTGGTGTTATCTCGGAACTCTTGCTGACCCTGGTCCATGTTTCTTTACAGTAGCTACTGTTGTAGAGAGAGAGAGAGAGAGAGAGAGGAGTGCAGAACAGTCTTCTCTTATGAGGCTATCAAAAGGCATACGTACATAGATTGAGCAAGACTATTGATGGATAACCTTGGGTGCCGGATTGAAGGGCAGCCCGCCCGTTGGAGCCTTTGGGAGGCGTGAGCGTCATGGGAAGAACAAGAAGGAGACCCGAGATGGGGGGAAGTGCGTCACGGCGGCGGCAAGGAAGAAGAATGTAGGGGTCAGAAGCGGTGCCTTCACCCTCCAGAACTAGGGTTAGCCTCCACCGGTGTGAGAGAACATGCCAGGCTGCAACTTGAGAGTTCTCGAAGTTATTTTTCTCTTCCCACCTCCCCTTCCAGCTCTCCGGCACCGTTTCAGTCCTCTTGACCAAGAACATGCAGAAGCCATTAAAAAATGAGATCGCAGAGCCCCACAATATGACTACAAGATGTATGTTCATACATCGGGACTGGGGTTAAGAAGTGTATATAGGTTTATATAATAATATTAGAGGGAAGAGAAAGCCTAGATTAGTGTGGGTCGGGGAAGGAGGCTTGGGAACCAAATCCCACCGTTCTCCTCCTCGTTGCATGCATGGCGGCAGATTGGCGCAGATCGTACGTATCTTCCTCGCCACGCAAGGCAGAAAACCACAAATCTTCCGGCCCTCAGCAGCTCCGTCACCCTACAGGGCCTTTCTAGGGTAGAGATGAAGCCACGGGCGCATAAAAAGAGATTTAAAAGGGCGACATGGGTTTAAAAATATGGAGGAAAGAGGGAGAAAGAGGGCTAGTCCTAGCTTTGACTTGTTGGGTAAATGATCCCTCCCCTCACCCTATAAGACCCTCCCTCTTCTCCCCCTCTCCGGTCTTCTCTCTCTCTCTCTCTCCCTCCCTCCCTCTCCTATTCTTGATGCTAAACAACAGAAGAGCTCGAAGGAAACGAAGAGGAAGGGTCATGGCGGCTCTAAGTCTAACAGGGTTCCTACTAAGGCTTCTACTCTTCTCTATTGCTCTCAGGCAGGCCATCGCCGATGACCTTCGAGGTATTTTCAATCTCTTCTCTCTCTCTCTCTCTCTCCCTCTCCCTGTAGATATTTCCATAAGACATGCAGGTCAAGTTGACTCAATGCCATCCAATTTGGCGTCGAGTGGCCTGATACTTCCACAATGTGAATGAGATGGGTGTACCATTAATCTCTACTCTGATCTCCTTCCTCCTCAGCTACTGAGACCGGAGCCATCGCTGACATAAATCGGGCCCTCGAGAGGAGGCCTGTGAGTCTCCTATCGACGTTCACAACTGTAAATTTTCTATTTTTTCTTCCACGGCTCATTGATTTATCGCGTTACCAGGAACGCCGAGGATATGCCGTGGCGAGGACCGGAGCCGAGGCGAAGGGGATGAAGAGAATGGAGGGAGGAAGGAGGCCTGGCGCAGACTGTGGCCGCCGAGAGGAGGGGAAGTTGAACGTGGAGTGTGAACTAAGAGGGAAGCGCCGGAATTCCGTAGTCAACTTCGTTGACTTTATACCCTTCAGCTCCGACTACCGTGGGGCCAAGACTCACCCACCGAAGAACAACTGAGGGACTGGACGGGGACTAATTTACGGGGATTTCTGGGTTTTCGTTCCTTTTCTTCCACCCTCCTTCCTCTTCATCTTTCTTCTACTAAGAGAAGAGGGAGAAAGACGAAAAACCTTTTAGTGTGCATGTGTTTGTATGAAATATGCCTCTTTCTGTTACTAAAGAGATTCCTATAGAGTTCCTCATTTCAGAATGCTCAAGAGCCCTTATTTTCATTTTTTTTTTTTACTCGTGCATGGAACACATTGATTCGGTCGTCTTTGTCTCGAGTACCTCGAAGGCAAGCCTGTAATCAGCCTCTCTCTCTGTCTCTCTCTCTCTCTACTCTGGACTCTTAGTCTGAAGAGTCTGAGGCCTTGCCATTTCTCTAAGACCCTGTCCAAATTGGGAGAGTATATGGCATTCATCAAGAAACTCACCACCCGTCTCAGAAGACTGAAGCTCCTGATTTTCATCGGATCACCGACGCCGATAGTCAAAACTCCTAACGAGCCACTCGTCTTTTCTCCTCAATTGCACAGGATCTTGGCAAGACAACGCTCCATGACGCACTTCATACAATTCGGCTGCACTCATTACCTGTGGGAAATCGTAGTTATTTTTTTATTGTGAGTGCCTAGTTTCGAATGGAGACCGGAGCCAATGACTGGGCCCATTACCTCAGGTTCTCTTACCAAGTCAACAGGCAAAAGTCATCAGCGTCAATGGGCTAGGTCAAGACCCGTTTTCCCAGCCAACTACATCTTCAGCCTATGGATCTCACGGAGCTCTGATACTCAATCCCAAGCCCAGATAAAGCTCCGACAACTGAATCTGAGTCAAGACCACACACCTTGAGAGCATCTACAAAAGGGAAGAGAAAGATGAAGAGAGATGAAAGATAGGCTGGTACAGGAGTAATCGATAGGCAACCACTTGGTAAGAGAAAATAGGCGTTTGACTCATGGGTTGGAACCACCTAAGATCTAGACCTGACCTACCCAGAGACAACTGGGCTTAGATCTTCACACCCTAGTAGCAGGCTGTTGGGAACAGGACAAGGGATAGGTCTATGTGGCCCTTAGGGTGAAGATGGAGTCCAGATTAGGTTTGGGACTGTTAAACTAGGAAGACAAAGCAACTTGTGAATCATCAAACCCATGAGTATTGATGTATGACTAATCAAACAAAGTTTGCTATCATAAAAAATTACTGCCTTCTTTGACTCTCAAAGGAGTACTCCAATATCTGAGCCATCATTTAAAGCACTTATATCAAGTTGGATGATCAAGAAATCAATAATAATAGAATAATAATAGAATATGTTTTAAAATGATAATAGAAATCAATAATTAATAAGAATAGAAATAATAATAATAAAATATGTGATTTTGTAATAAATATTAATTATTTAAAATATATTATTTCAAATTAGCTACTTGTCTTAGGTAGGCTATTAGGGTTATGTTTTTAAATAAAACACATGACACAAGAAGTTTGATAGTTGTTTCATTTAATCTAATGGCTACTCCGATTCCTAAATTCCAATTAATTTTATTGTAATACAACTTTAAATTGTACTACAAGTTGGGTTGTTAATGAGACCCTTCTACACCACACCAAGCCAAGGGTTATAAGATTAGGTTCATGTATTTTAACAGTGACAAATAATTGAGTTATCAAGTATTTTTTCACCCAACAATAATTCTATGAAGTATTAATTTCTCTGAACATGTAAATTTTCATCTTAATTTTTTTTCCTAATTTAATGGCAAAAGAAAGCATGATCCAAAATTATTGATAGAATAAAATATTTATGGTTTGTCTTAGTGTGATGGGGTAAACAAAATTGATTTAATTAAAAAATTAATTTAAAGTATTGATAAAGAAAACTCAACTTTAAAAAAAAAAAAGACTTTGTCAAGTTGTAATTTTATTTGTCATATATGAAATTCATCCTCCTCCAAAAGAATGCATGTCAACCACAACTATTGGACTCCCACATTGGATGTGTTAGTAGTTAATACAAAAAATTAGTCAAGTCATTTATTGCTTTTGTCTTTATTAGGCTTCTTATTTTTGTATTCAGTGGGACAAAAGGTTACAACTTATTTTCTTTTTAGTGGGACAAAAGGTTACAACTCTCCTTTCCTCTTATTCTCTCCCAAAGTCTATATTTTCTCTTTAAAAAATATTATATTTTTTTTCCTACAAGTGGTATTAGAGGGTTGAGTTCATCTATTGGGTGTTTCTTCTTCCATAGAAAGTACACCAATATCAAAGGAGATTAAAATGAAGTTAGTAAATGTTTTTGGGCATTTTCAAAGACTTCTTGTTGTAACAAGTAACGTGAAAGTTCAACTTGAAGTGTTTGTGAAGGGGTAATGCTATTGACCTTGAGAATGGAAATGGTAACTCTTTCAACGTATCTCAAGCTCTTGTGTCATTTTTCAATGAAGAGAAATATGATTTCTAGAGTATTAAGATAAATATATTTTTTATTTCACAATATTTATGGGAATTAGTTGAGAATGAAAATATGAAAAGAGAGAGTTCGAAATAAGATATATAAGAAATTTCAAAAAAAAGATGCTAAGACATTGTTAGTTTTACAACAATCTAGTTTAGAAACTATTTTTTCTCATATTATTAATGCCACATTCTTTAGAAGTATGAAAAAAATTGAGAGATAATTTTCACATAGATAGTAAAGTTATATCTGTCAAACTTCAAACTCTTTGTAGAGAAGTTGAAATTATTAATCTTAAATATGGTGAATCTATTTATGATTTATTTTCTATAATTTCAGTTATTATAAATCAAATGAGGATTTTGGGAGAAGGTATTTCAAAAAAGAAAATTATTGATTTTTTTTTTAGAAGTCTTCCATCTAAATTTGATTATGTTGTTGTTACCATAGAAGAGTTTAAAGATTTGTCTATTTATACTCAAAATGAATTGATGAAATCTTTATTGGCACATGAAGAAAGAATGAATAGACTTACAAGAAAAATTAAAATTTCAAAAAAGGTAAGAAATAGTGAAGGCACATCATGCCAAGGACATGATAATAGAAAAATTACAAAAAACATGATATTAAATATTATAGATCTTATTATACACAACAAATGGATGATAGTGAAAACAAGTAAAATCAAAAACCAAATTATAGAATGATGCAATGTCGATTTTGTAAGAAATATGGATATATTGAAAAATTTATTGAGATAAGGAAAAATAATAAGAAAATATTGGAGAAGGTAGTTTTAAGCTAATGTGTAATTTTTTCAAGAAATGTGGACATATTAGAGTAAATTATTGAGATAAGAAAAAGAAGAAAGTAAATATTATTGAAGAAAATGGTCAAAATAATTTTTTTCTTGCTTTTACATCTTCATACAAGTAAATCAACTATTTGATTTGTTGATAATGGTTGTAGCAATCATATGTCTAGAGATTGAGATTTATTTCAATATTAATACATCTATGGTATGTGATGTTATAATTGGTGATAGAAATAGTGTGAAAATTAAAGTCATTGATATTATTACTTCTCATACAAAACTAGGTGTAAATATCTTAATTCATGATGTTTATTTTATTTCAAAATTACCACACAATTTACTTAATGTGGGTCATTTGTTGAAATGTGGTTATCTCTTATGGTGATTCCTAAAGTTAGAAAATAGTTGTTTCCTCTTGATATTTTAAAACTTATTGAATTTGGCTTGATTAGTAAAGACAATAATCCCTCTTTACTTTGGCATTGACAATAGGATCATTTACATTTTAATACATTATAAAGTCATTACATCACAAGCATATGATTCTTGATTTCCTATCTTTCTCAACAAATAATGAAAAGTGTGAAGGATGTGCTATTGTCAAACAACCGAATTATCTTTTATAATAGGAAAATTTTAGAGAAAAATATTTAAGCTTAAGTTATTGTATAATATATGTGGTCCAATGAAGACATTGTCATTGAACAATAGTTTGTATTTTCTATTGATTATTGATGACTTTACGCATATGAGTTGAGTGTATTTTATTTCTCAAAAATGTGGAGCACTTAAAAATCTATTCATTTCAAACGGTTACTAAAAAGCAAATATACATATTATAAAAACCCTTCAAATGGATAAAGAGAGAGGATTAATATATTCTGAAATTTATTTATTTTGCAAGAAACATAACATTGAAGTCCTTTCACAATTAGAAAAACTATGGAGCAAAATATTATTACTAAAAGAAAAAATAAAATAGTTATAGAGATGGCTCAAAATAGATTTAATGAGAAACATCATCCAAATGATTTTTGGGCTGAAACAAGTACAACATCTATTTATCTTTTGAATATTTCTCCTACTAAATCAATTTTGAATATGAGTTCTTATGAGGCATGGTACAATGAAAACTAAATATTGGTCATTTAAAAATATTTTTTGTATTTCATATGTATTAATTGATTCTAATGGTTGTGACAAAATAGAAAAAAATAGTGAGAAATATATTTTTATTGATTATAGTGATAAAAGTAAAGGTTATTATTTATATAATCCTAAAATAAAGAAATTATTGATCCATCGTGATGTTGTATTTGATGAGTATAATTGTTAGAATTAGAATAAAAACATAATTTCTCAAATATCTTCTGATAAGTATCATAAATTTATGCAATCAAGAGAAGATTCAATATTTGAAGCTCCTACATCATCTAGCTCACTTTGAAGAGTCCTTGAGAAATTCTAATAGTTTTAATGGCCACAATGACAAAAGTCTAAATTCATCACATCCTCCAATAAAATGAGATCATTAAGTGACATTTATGAATCATGTGTTTTTATTTTCATGGTTATAGAACCAACAAACTATTAGAAGTCATAAGGTAAATATGATTGAGAGAAGGCAATGAAAGAAGAAATTATGATAATTTAGAAGAATAACACTTAGAAATAGTGGATTTACCGTCAAAGGCTAAAAGTCATTGATGTCAAACGGGTTAGAAATTGATGGATTTAGTATCAAAGACTAAAAGTCATTGATGTCAAATGGGTTTATAAGGTGAAGTATAAAGCTGATGACAATGTTAAAAAATATAAGACAATGTTAGTAGGGAAGAAATATGCATAAAATTTGAAATAATATGTATTATTTTAGCTTTAGCAGCACAAATAAAATTTTATTTATTTCAAATTAATTTTAAATCAGTATTTTTGAATGGTAAGTGTTTATATTGATTGTAGGAGAACATATTTGATTGTATGTGTTTATGTTGATGATCTTATTTTTACTAAATCATCTTTATCGTTAATTTCAAATTTTAAGACTTGTACAATAGTTAAATTTGATATGATTATTTTGGATTACATCATTATTTTCTTAGACTTAAAATTATTCAAAATAATTGTGGTATATATTTATTTCACAAGAAAAATATGTATTTGATTTGCTCAAGAAGTTTAGCATGTTTAATTACAAAACTTGCTCTACTTATATTAATATCAATGACAAATTATGTCTTGATGATGATATTATAAAATATATATAAATATTTTATAGAAGCTTTCTTGGTGAATTAGTGTATTTGACTCATACAAGATGTGATATATTATTTTCAGTTAGTATAAATTTAAGATTCATGTATTTTATGTCAGTTCACCATCTTAGAGCAGCAAAGTAGATACTTTGATATTTTTGAAGTACTATGAATTATGGAATTTTATCAACATGGTTCTAAATTTAAATTTTCTAATTATTTATATTGTGATTAGGCATGTTTTATTGAGTGAAAATAAAAGCACAAGTGGCTTTATTTTCAATTTTGGTTGAGATGTAACTTCATGGACTTCAAAAAAGTAAGAATCTATAACATTATTATCATCAGAAGTTAAATATATTATTGCATCAATGGTTGCATAGTAAGTAATATGGATGCAAAGGATCTTAAAAGATGTCAATTTACCTAAATCGACATCAATAGTGATATATTGTGACAACATTTCAACTATATAAATGACAAAGAATATAATATTTCATAGAAGAATGAAACATATTGAAATTCTTCATCATTTTATTTAAGATTTACTTAATTGTAAATTCTACTGAAATAAAGTTTTGTTCAACATTAGATCAAGTTGCAAATAATTTTTCAAAAACATATATCTACACTAAGTTTATCAAATTTCAAGAAGCTCTTAGTATTTATTAGACGTGAAGGGGAGAGTTAGTAATTAATGCAAGAAATTAGCCGTCATTTATTACTTTCATCTTTATTAGGCTTCTTACTTCTGTCTTTAGTGGGCCAAAAGGTTACGGCTTATTTTCTTTTCAATGGGTCAAAAGGGGGCAGACCACATATGGGATTTATGTAAGGTATATATAATCTCTTTCTCTCTCCTCTTTCTGTATTCGTGATGGCTGATATTCTATGTTTTTCCTGTGCGAAATTACTCATCTCCTCTTCTCCCATTCTCTCCCACAAAATCGTCATCATTTTTTCCTATAGAACGCCACAGCTTTCTCGCTTCGTCGGTCTTCTCCTGGACCAGTTCTATTCCGGTGGGGGTTGGTGAATCCAACGACCGCTTCAGGGTTGGTGAATCTAACTCCGCCCCGTTTTCCGACTCCCCAGTCCCTTCACCGTTGTACCGACAAGCAGCAGAAAGAGAGAGAGAGAGAAAAGGGGTGGGGAAGCGATGGTTTCTGCTGCGTACGATAAGGGAGATGGAGGGTTGGCGGCGCACGCCCTAGTGTTCCCCTTCCCGTCGCAAGGGCACATGATTCCCCTCCTCGACCTCGCCCATCACCTCTCCCTCCAAGGAGTCTCCGTCACCGTCCTCGTCACTCCCGGGAACCTCCCCATCCTCCGTCGCCTCCTCTCCCGAGCTCCGGCAATCAAAACTCTGGTCCTCCCCTTCCCTCCCCACCCCTCCCTCCCCGCCGGCGTCGAGAACAGCAAGGACCTCACCGCAGACCAGTTCCTCCCTCTGATGCACGCCCTCAGCTTCCTCCACGAACCTTTCCTCCGGTGGGCTCGAACCACCCCGTCGCCGCCGGACTTCATCGTCTCTGATTTCTTCCTCGGCTGGACCCAACGCACCGCCGCCGAGCTTGGGGTCCCGCGGGTGGCGTTCTGCCCATCCGGCGCCCTCTTCCTCTCTGTCGTCCACGACCTGTGGAGGGAGATGCCCCAGCGGGGAGATGCCGCCGCCGGCGAGGACTTCCCCGTCGAGTTCCCGAGCCTCCCGGGCTCCCCCGTGTTCCCATGGCGCCACCTCTCCTCCCTCTACAGAAGGTGCAGGGAAGGGAACCCCCTCTGCGAGTTCGTAAGGGAAGGGTTCTTGCAGAATATCTCCAGCTGGGGATACGTCTTCAACACCTTCATGGATTTGGAGGCGCCGTACCTCGACCACCTCCGGGCGGAGCTGGGGCACCGCCGTGTGTGGGCGGTCGGCCCGCTGGCTCCGCCGGGCGACGGCGACCGCGACGGCGACTCTGTCCTCTCTGCCGGCGCCATGGCCTGGCTGGACGCCTGCCCCGCAGGCACGGTGGTGTACGTCTGTTTCGGCAGCCAGGCGGAGCTGAACCCCGCGCAGACGGCGGCGCTGGCGGCGGCGCTTGAGCGGAGCGGTTCCCGGTTCGTTTGGTGCCTGCGGGTAACCCCCGCGGGGAGCGCCGTCGCGTACGGCGGCGCGCCGGAGGGGTTCGAGGAGCGGACGGCGGGGAGGGGGTTGGTGATCAGAGGATGGGCGCCGCAGGTGGCCATTTTGGCCCATCCGGCGGTGGGAGCTTTCCTCACTCACTGCGGCTGGAACTCGGCGATGGAGGGGATAACCGCCGGCGTGGTCCTCCTGACATGGCCGATGAGCGCCGACCAGTTCGCGACGGCGAGGTTGCTGGTGGAGGCCGGAGTGGCGGTGGGGGCCTGCGAGGGCCCCGACTCGGTCCCCGACCCGGACGAGCTCGCGCGGGTGATCGCCGAGTCGGTCGGCGGGAGGAGGTCCGAGGCAGCGGAGTCGGTCCGCCTGAGGAAGAAGGCTCTGCAGGCGGTGGCGGAAGGGGGCAGCTCCTCCGACGATCTCCGGGATCTGGTCACCGCCATCTTCCAAGACAAGATCGGTCAACGGCATTAGTTGACATTTTCTTCTTTGTCCGCGTATTTATAGCGTGTCGCCGCCGGCCTTCAATATTCGGATTGTAAATGGCCCTTTTACACATAAATGCGCACAGAATATGTGGATCCTTTTTATATAAGCCGACGTGGAAGTCTGTCCACGGCGGTCCTAAAAAGGAAAATGTTCTTAAGAGCACCTCCAACGAAAAAGGGATGTCCTAAAAATATCATGTATTTTATCCAAATGTTAAATGGCACATTTATTTATACAAACATATAAAAATATAATTAATTTATTGTTGCTTATATTTCTTATTAATAATTCTTACATTATCATTAGTATACCATATTTAAATTATGATTTTGATTAAAATATAAATTAAGTAAATACGTAAAATTGCGACATGCAAGATTTTCAAGCATTGCTAAAATAAATACACAATGCTAAACTAAAAGGAAATATATTAAAATATGAATACTTTATACAATTGTTTTAATTGATTTCAGATGGAATAAATATTAAATATTTTTGTTTCTAGAAAAATGTATATAATAAAACTCTGCGGGGCGAAATCTCATTCAGTGTAGTGGACGGGGGACGGGGGATAGACGCTCTCTCCCTCCCCGAGGAGGGAAGGCGGAGGCGCCATGGAGGATCTCCACTGTTTCCCGAGCAAGCGCCTGAAAGCGCCATCCCCAGCTGGGTCTCCGCATCCCGCTGGCAAGGGCAAGAGGAAGATGGAGGAATTCGCGTCTGGGGAAGACGAGGACCGGGCTGCCGACGGGAGGGCTTGCGGTATCTGTTTCGCGGAGGAGCGACGGTCGATACGAGGATGGATCGACTGCTGCGATCACTACTTCTGCTTCGTGTGCATCATGGAGTGGGCCAAGATCGAGTCCCGATGCCCTTTGTGCAAACAGAGGTTCGGTTCCATCCGCCGGCCGGGGGTGCCCGGGGTGTTCTTCCGGGAGAGGATTGTTCATGTGCCTGTCCGAAACCAGGTTGGCCATCGAATCCTCTCTATATACATCTGTAATTATTTTCTCCTCCTGTCCATAATCTCTATGCTAATTGGAATATGATGCTGGGATTGGAAAACTCGGAAATCAGAATATTACTATCATTAATCCAGAACATTAGAATCTAGGAGAAAATATTACCCACCCTAAAAATGATTAATATAGTTTTTTCCTCTGGTCTTTTTAGATTCCCCTTTATGAGAGACCACGTAACTCTGTCACTGGTTGGACAGGGTTTTCTCTGAAATATAGTTTGTTTGCCAGATTCTTCCTTAACAATAGCCCCTGAAGACATCCAGCATACCCTCTGAAACTATGGACTTCAATCTCCATGACCAACCCTATGGTATGTCAATTTTTATTTCATCATTCGCCATATTTAAGAAAAAAATCCTTCTGTTCTCGATTCCCTTGGTTCAGTGGTATATCTATCTAGTGGTTTCTATGGTCGTGCAGCATTTTTCTGATGGATCTCTTTATAATTCAAAGATGCATCGGAAAATTTGAAATAGTTCATGAAAATTGTGTTCGAATTTGAGACAGCTTTGTGCTGGTTAATTCACAATGGTGGTTAAGATATTGCACTCAGCTTGATGATATCTTGGATTGTTAGTTTCTCTGGTTTTACGAGTAATTCAGCAGGAAGTAGAAGAAGAAATTATAATTTCGTATCACAAAGTTCAATAGCATATCTCCATGGATTCAGCCTACTAGACATGTCTTGTGACAATTAGATCATTTCACAGGTTCAACTTTTTGACAATGCAACAGAAGACGATGACCCATATGCAAACATCAACTGCAGCATCTGCCACAATTCTGCGGATGAGAACCTGCTTTTGCTCTGTGATCTATGTGATTCTTCCGCTCATACTTACTGCATTGGCCTTGGGTTCACCGTCCCTGAGGGGGACTGGTATTGCCCAGATTGCACTGTCTCCCGGAAGGAGCAATCCAGAATGCAAGATGATGACCACCATTCCGATGAACTTCTCTGCAGAGTTTCCATAAATACCACAGAGGCCGACCCACTTGTTTCAATCTTCGACATTGTTCATGATGAAGGGTCTTCCAACACCTTGAGAGAATCCAGGGCCCAGGCTCTTCGAAGAGTAGTGGGTGATAGCAGACCCACATCGGAGGAGGGTGCCCCTGAATGGGTATCTCGAGGAGGAATCATGGCTGGCAGGAGATCCCTAGTTGAGGCAGGTGCGAGGACCCTGCACCAGCATCGTGATCGGCATCAACGCATACAGTTGCTGCGAGAAAATTGGTCTAAATTCCAAAGTGGGTCTATGGATTTCAGATCAAGCTCAGCTTCAGCATGTGGGGCATCCAGCGGCAGAGAGCATAAGCCTGGCCATCGCCATTCCACTGGCAATGTTGAAGCTGTGACAAGATTCAAATCACCGGAGGTAAAAGTATGTACTAGTTCCTATGACGTTGATAGAGCTTGGAAGATGCTAGAGATTGCAAAGCCAATGAAAAGGGTTCAACCCACAGCCAGCTACCAGTCCCAGAGGGTCAATGGTAATGATAGCATGCGAGCCAGGATCTCTCATAGAAGGATTCTTTCTACAAATCGAGATCCAGAGAATAGGTCACCAGCTGTTGGCGCCACTGGAATTGGAGCATGCATCAGTCCAACCCCTTTTGAGGTAGAAAGGGAGAAACATGGGTCTTATGAGTGTGGAATGAAGGAGATGACGACCCATTTTGGTGGAGTTTCGTCCTCATCAGACAGGTTGAACTCCAAATGTACATTACAATTCAGCCATGAAGATGGGGGGGAGCATGGGGCCCCACAACGCACTTATGATGCATCAAATTCAGTGAGGCTAAAAGAAGTACGTAGTTGCTTCCCAGCTGGAGCTTCATGTTCAGTACATAGGAAAAGGATGCCTTGTGAACAAGGCAGAAACACCAATGGAGATCCTATGGCGATTTCTGATGGTGCGAAGAGTGAAATCCAGTCATTGGTCAAGTTGACCTTGAAATCTAAAGGCCGTCATTTTGGTAAGCCTGCTTCTCTTTCCTAGTTTCTCTACGTATTCACTTATTACCGTTGAGTGGGTTCTCCTAAATTTCCTTGAGATTCATGCCTATTTAGTTTAATATCCCCGCAATTTAATGCAACTCCGAATTATCGTAGCTGATGACTGTGTGGTGGGGGGTGCTATCACAAAGTTTAGAGGGATATTACACCTAGGTTTTTATTCCAGGGGCTTCAAATGTAGATTGGCATTCTCTTTTAACTCCTGACCAATGGTGAATTCGTGGGATGCTACAGTCTGAAAGCAATGTTCCTTGGAAATGCTTCTCAGTTCTCCAAACTATGGGTTTTTAAATGACATGATTATTCTCCTTTCTGTCCAAATTTCCTCGCTATTTTTTAAGAGGGTCAACCGGGTCTCTGCCTTCTCAGGAAAGGATAAGTTCAAAGAGATTGCCCGAATCGCCACCCACACCATCCTTGCTGCTTGCAGGCTGGATCATTCGAAATCTTTCTCGCAGCCGATCTTACCTCCCATCTGCCCGCACCAAGATGAGGCGAACTACAGGTCAAGCCTTCTCCCGGGTTCTTGCAGAGATTGCTTCTTCTCCTTTGTAAAATATGTGGTGGATGTCATCGCCTCTGAAAGGATGGTGGTTTCATGGGATGGCTCCAATCCAGCTTAATTCCACCTGGAAAGGTTTTGCTGTTGTAGATTGATTCATTCTTTCTTTAGTTTAATCAAAATTTGTAAGAAAATCAGAGCGCCCATGACTTAAATATTGTGCAATGTAGATCTACATATACACCATTTTATTTCGAAATCTGATGTGGATGAGTCCGATGCTGCAGAGAAGGGTATCTTTTTTGTGCATTGTTTCATTCTTATTCGTTTTAAAGTCCTTTTTTATTTGAAAAATTAGCAAGAACGTTGGTATTAATTTCGGTATTTAAAAAAGAAATCTGACCGAGAAGACAACTATAGGGAGATGAGTCTGAGTCCACTCAGAATGCTTTGCTTATTGTTAACTGATTCATTATTATTTTGATTAAAAGCTCAGAGCTAGTACAGGAAATCAGGACACATGTGAGTCGAAGATCACAAAATGTTGATCTTGGTTTTTGTTAGGATCGAATCTGACGGGTCTATTACCAGGCCCACTAACTAGGTTACTTATACCCGAAGAGAGAAGGTAAATTCCCATCTAGGTGGGCCAATCAGCCTAGTAAAGAGGTCAGTATGAGACCTTATGGGCGCCCTCCTCAATGGGGGAGCACTTTTGGATGTCGTCTTGAAAGATCTGGGGCGCACTCTAATTAGCTCCGAACTGGTTCTAGGGTTCATGTGAAACCCACCTTATTTCTTTTCTTCCCCATTTCTATTTCAGCATGTTCTTCGCTAGATTCTTGTGATGTTTTCTCTATATTTTTTTTTGATCTCAACCTATTATCTGGGAGTCCTATCAGCTAGTAGCAGAGCAATGGCAATTAAAAATGAGGAGAAATACGAGAGTCTAGAGAAGGATATCAAGGTTTTGAAGGAGTCTATGCAATCAGATTCGTTGTAGTTAACCTCCATGGAGAACAAGATGGTAGAGATTGCACTCTCGATGGTGCAGATTCTGTAATAGATGAGCAGCAGTTCGGAGTCACAAACAAGGCATGGGGAAGATACGGTGATAGTAGGAGGAGCTAGTAGGGTGGTAGCAAGGGAAGGAGCGAAGGCAATGGACACTTCCCTTGGCAACACAGATCAGCGAACTCCTGACCTCAGAGAACCAAGGGCAAACCCTTTGTGGGATATCCTAACTGTTGGTAATTGGGGTACACATCAGTTGGGCATCTCTCTTTTAAGAGAAGGAAGTTTGAATAGCTGGATATTCAGGGTGGAAATGTACTTCTAAGTGTAGGGAATCGGCAGCAGAGATAAAAATTGAAAACTGCAGCAACCTATTTGGATGGTGAAGACTTGGTATGTTAAGGAGCCCTTCAAGGACTGAAAGATGTTCGCAGCTAGCAAGCACACTATGCGTGCATTTGTTGGTTCTCAAACAATGTGGCATAATTTTAGACTACTGGAAGGAGTTCCAGTTGTTATCTGAAGGAGTAAAATTTAAGGCATTTCATAAGAAACTTTAGAAAGTATATTTATTAAAGAACTAGGGGTTGAGATTAAGCTTGAAGTCAAATTATTCAAACTAAAAGGACTATGGAAATATGATGGATACTACTCAAGTTGTGGAGGAGAAGAATGACACTCTCAAGAACAAGAGGGGCACCGAAATCAGCTCAAGGGCAGCAGTAGTAGGAGGGGATTGACCCTTATGGAATCAAAGCTACAAAATAGGCTAGCAAAGGGGTTTTTTTTCATGCAATGAAAAATTTCTACTTGGTCATATCTATAAAATAGAACTACAATTATTTCTAGATCACAAAGAGGAGTATGACTTAGGAGAAGTTCATAAACAATGCACCCTTGCTCAGACATCAGATAATCAATGTGATATTGAAGAAGCTAATATCTAAATTTCCCTTAATCTAGCTAATGGTATATTTGTACCAAGTATCATGAAGTTGAAAAGGTCGATCAAGGACAGGGATCTCACTATATTGGTGGATTGCAAGCCACACATAATTTTATATCTTGATAGATAATACAAGAGTTGAAGCTACCCTTACCTACCACCACAAATTTTAAGGTGTGCTGTGAAATGAAACATCTATTAGAGGACGATGAATATGTCAAGACGTGGTGTTAGAAATGTAAAGATCAAGATAACTAATTATTTTTACCCTTGTAATTGTGCAAGATAGATGTTATGTTAAAAATACAAAGGCTAAAGACCTTAGAGTTTATGAAGGTGTGTTGTAAATGTCTCAAAATTAAATTTTCATTGGGAGGTACTATTCTCACACTATGAGGTAACCTTAATCTATGTAAGTTAGGTGTATCCCTCAAGTCTATAACATGATTTCTAACATGACAAGGAATTATTTGTGAGCATATGCCAACTTATTGGAGAAGTTATACAGGAAACTCACAACTTACCTACAACTATAGAGCAAAGGCTTGTAGGTTCCTTCCTAATGGTTTTTTTCCTTTTGTGAAGAACTTCTTCTCAACAAAAAAGTCAACTATCGCATCTAACTAGAGGCAAGTAAGGGCTTGATAACATATAACCTTATTGCTATTCCTATTTTCAAAAAAATGAAATTGAAAATTCACTAAGATAAATGTGTAATTTCATAATCATTCAACCCTCAAAAAGTCTTTACATCAGCTCAACAATCTTAGAAAATAAAAAAGTGGTAGCTAATGGTTCTATGTCGATTATAGGGGTTTAACAAGACCAACATCCCAAATAGTTTTTTGATACCCACCATGAACAAATTTTTATACAACCCTCACGGAGCCTAATCTTTACCAAGTTGGATTTGAAGGTCAAGTACCACTAGAACCAAATACATAAGGCTGATGTGTACAACATAGGTTTTAGAACTCATGAAGAGTATTATGAGTTCTTAGTTATGTTGTTTGAGATCAAGAATGTTTCATCCACATTTCATGTATTAGTTAATCAAAATTTTAACTCATTCCTTTAGAAGTTTCTATTGAATTTTTTTATGACATACTTGTTCTTAGTTCAAATACAAAACATCATGATCACCATCTCACTCAAGTGTTATAACTTCTTCAAAATCATCAAATTATATGTCAATACAAAAAATATATCTTTTTCAGCAAATAAACTCAATACATTAGTCATTGGGTTTCAACTCCCAAAGTGAGGTTGACAACAACAAGACCAAAGTAATAATCAATTGACCTACTCCTACAAGTTCATGAGAATTATATGGATTCTTGAGTTTAACAAGTGATTATTGTCGCTTTATGGTGAACTTTGGGACCATAGTATCACTACTCACACAATTGCTCAAAAAGAATTCACATGACAAGGAAAAGCAAATAAGACCTTTAAAGAGCTTAAATAATCTTTGAGAATAATATTAGTATTGACCTTACATGATATTTATCATTCATTTGAACTTAAATGTTTATAGAATGAGAGTAGGGCAATTCTTATGCAATATTAGTGTTCAATGGCCTATTTCAACTAAACTTTGTCCACCAAAAATAGACGAATATTTGTTTATGGAAGATAATTCATAGATATGATACTAATGATTTTTAAATGAAAACAAGAATTGATGGGTTGACCATTTCTTTGTTCACATGGACCAAATCAACTTAAAAATCATTTTGAGTAATGCGAGATGCATTTAAAACAACATAAATGATTGACAAAATTATAAAATTCGATTTTGCAATCAAGTATAAGACAAGTACGGACAATAAAGTTAAGACACCCTCTCAAGAATTGCATAACCTAGTATACAATAAGTATTAACTATTTTGTTATCCTGTATTTTGTATTATATTAGATTGGATGTAGGATTAACAACTAATTATGAAATAATCAACTAGCAAACTAAAAAAAGGCCTCAAATACAAGCTTCACTAGTGCTTACTCTTCTACAATGGTTATTTTTTTATCTATAGGAATTATGGTAATATCTCACTTATTATCCATAAGTGCCATGATAATGCAATTGGGGGACTTCATAGATTTTTACGTACCTTTAAATGTTTATATCAAGAAATTTATTATCATGATATAAAAAAATTATAAAATAGTACATGCAGTAATCCCCACAATAGAAATCAAATAGTTTCATTGTGGCAGAGATTAAGAAAACAAAGTCATTTCATTTCCCTAGAACACCCATGCACAATTAAAATCATGGTAGAAGATTCCTTACATACATACATCTCATAATATAACATGCCAAGATCTATTATTTTTTATAAAAATAAGAAATTCACAAGCTTATTATAAATATAATTGTTTAGAAATATTGAAATGTGATACGTGTGAGATAGCAAAGTATAAGAGAATGTCATTTCATTAACTAATGAGAATAGTGCATCTCTATTCTCTCAATTCCAAAGATTTTCTAGGACCATCATAAAGTAAATCATAGGTGAGCAAAGTTCTACAAAAAAAAAAACACTCATAAAGAAATTATTTACAATAAAAATAAAAATATTTTGATTTTACAATACAAGAAACTTTGTAAATCATACCATTACATACTTCTCAAATGGAATAATTATCTATGAGATGTCGTGTTAATACTCCACAATAAAATGTAGTTGTTGAAAAAAAGAATAAACATATTTTAGAAGTGGTAATACCCATTTTATTACAAACTAAAACATCTAAGATTTTTGGGGGAGAGATGATCTTAATAATTGTACACCTCATTAATATGTCTTAACAACAAGTGTTAGGTTGTAAGAGTTTGTTAAAAAAATTGTCTCAATTTTATTTTAATATTCAGTTGAAAAATAACTTAATTCTTTGGGTGTTGTGTTTGATTTGTTGATAATCAAGATTCAACAAAAATTAAACTTGATTCATGCACTCTTAATTGTGTTCATTGAGTACTAAGTACGAAAAATGAGTATAAATGTTACCATCCTCCATCTATGAGATTTTTATTTTGAAATATGTAACCTTTCATGAGCATGAAGTTTACTTTGATAAGATTTATTTTAAGAGGGAAAGAGAAACTCCTAAGATTAAGGAGAATGAAAATGATAAAGAAAGTAACAATGTGTTAT